TTATTGCACTGAGCCATCTCCCCAGCCCCACTAAGCCATCTCCCCGGCCCCTCTAGCAGCTTTTAGTATACCGTTCCTGTGCTCAATTTCTGGGATCTTGATTATTATATGTTTGGTTGTGGTTTTAATTGGGTTGATGTTATTTGGAGTTCTGTATGCTTCGGTTACAGAACGTCAGATTGTTTCCCCATATTTGGAAATGTTCTGCTGTTACTTCTGTCCATATTCCTTTTATATCATTTGTATTCACTTCTTCTTTCTCATTGATGCGTATTAGTCTCATATTGTTCATCTTTGCATCGTCTTGCAGATGTTGAATTATTTTTTCCTGCATCCTAGTTGTTTTTAAGAGATCTTTTCTTACCTTTTCAGTAGCTGCAATGGTGTCTTCAAGGTCTGAAAGTCTGTTTTCACTTTCATTCAAACGGTTTTGCCGGCTTGTGATTGAGGTTTTAATTTCCTGTATAGCACTTTGAATCTGCTTCATTCAAAGATTCTATCATTTTTATATTCTGCCCAATTTTTTATTAGTGTCTTCTTTAGAAGCACTTAGTAATTCTTTCATTATAGTTATCATTTCTTTTTTTACTTCAGAAATTATTTCTGATCTGATTTCCTCTATATCTTTCTGCAGTTGTTTCTTTACTTCAGATGCTATTATTTCAGAGATTCCAGGTGTGTGATTTCCAATTTCTTCTATGCTATTGTCTCCTGCATTTGTTCTGGGTGGGCTTGGGGCCTGAGAATACATTTTGCTCCTTCTCTTTGTCATTTTGTATAGCACTGACTTCTGACTTTGGATCTACCAAGTTCAAAGTCATCCAGGTGGGTGTGGTTTGGGTCTGGCTGCTGTGCTCCACTTCTTCCTGATGCAGCCCTTGGATGTGAAGCCACTATGTCACTCTGGCAAGATGTTCTGCTCCTGGATCAGCTGGGTAGGTGTTGCCTGTAGCCTCTCTGCAGGGTGTTCTGCCCCAGAGTTCCACACCAGGCCTGTCTGATGGATGAAGTTCCACTCACACGTTGTGCCTGGTGGATGCCTCATTTTGGATTGGGTGTTTGATTTGGGGGATCCCCTCTTCTTTTTTTTAAATGACATTCTAAGTTCCTCACCCTGGTCTTAATGTCCTGAGCTTAAGTAATCCTCTTCCCTTAGCCCCTAAGTTCCTGGGACTGCAGGCAATAGCACCATCTACATCTTTGTTTATAGTTCTGTATGTATTGTATGCAGTTGATAATTTATCTCTGTAGTGTTACCTATTTTTAATTAAAAGAATTTTTATTTTCTAATTATTTGCATATGTATTTTAAAACAGTTTTTAAAAATATTCAATTTTAAGCTCATACATAACCTTATTCTTGCTAAATTCGCATTTCTAGGAGCTTTTCAAGTAGGAACTTACAGGATTTGCTTCATGTCATCATGTCTATGAAGTATTTATTCTGTCTGTCTTGTATAAACTATAGTTCCAAGAACTCAAATAGTTAAGGAAGGAAAGTATTTCTTTATTTCAATATACCAGGTGATAAATTCAATAAAAGTAATAAAGTTATAAAATACCTATTGAGCAGCATTATATTTTTTAAAATCTAGGTACAGACCAAAACTTGATGTTAATACTAATGAAAGTCTCTAATGACTAATCAAATTGAATTTTTTTAAAGGTTCTCACCAATTTTAATATTATTTAAGCAAAAAGAGAAAAGACAACCCAACCATATATACGAGGGTGTGATTGATAAGTACAGTGAATATCTAACTTTTGTAATTTGCACTATAGTAAAAGACACATTGCTCTTAATCCTCCTCAAATTATTCCTTCTCGTTTTTTCCTGAATTGATTAAGCAAAAATGTTTACCTTTTAAGGTCACTTTGACTTTAGAGAAGAGCCAGTTTGTGTCAGATCCAATGTGTTAAACAGATGAGGACAGATCAAAAATTTTCTTATTTCTTGTCCCATCCAGTCCTGTCCTTGGTCCTGTCCTGTGTTTGGTCCTAGGAATTGAACTGAAAACTTCCTGCTTGCCAGGCATGTGCTGTGCTGCTGAGCTATATTCCCAGCTCAGACCAAAAAGTTTTCATGAGCCTAGCTTTGCATTGTATGGTGCTCCTCAGCAGCATTCACTGCTTTTGTTTTTTGTTTTTTGAATTATGGCTTGTAAAGACATGAAAGACGACTTTTAGAACTACTCCAGAAAACAGCAAAAATTATGGAATAAGAATGTTTGAAACTAGGAGTGGGTACTTTGAGAGGAATTAATAGCAATGTAATATTTTTTAAATGTAGACATGATATTTTTCTGTCATACAGTATATTTTGCATATGTGATGTGATGAATTATTCCACATTTGGGATGAGGGAGGTTGAGACACGGTCTTACTGTGCAGTCGAGGCTGGTCTGGAATTCCAGGTTATACCCTTTGTTTCTCTTTGTATCATGTTGCTATTTATCTCTCTTTTTGAACATACAGACCATACTTAGAAATACCTGTTTTGATTTCCTTGTTTGTTGATTCCATTCTGACAGTTCTGGATGTGTTCTTACAGATTGGCTTTCTCTAGAGTATGGATTATAGAGTTCTGTTCCTTTGCTTGCCTGTTTTGTTGTTGTTTTCTTGGATATCAGACAGTATTGGGTTTTGTTCTGCCAGTTTGTGTAGCTGATTACAGTCCATTTGATTATTTTTTCAGTCTTTAAATTGGATCAAGGGGCCGGGGAGATGGCTCAATGGAATAAGTGTTTCCCTGGCAAGTGCAAGGGCCTGAGTTCAATCCCTGGTTCTACAAGAAAAAAAAAAAGAAAAAACTAAAAAAAAAAAAAAAATTTTTTTTTTTGATCAAATACAGTAGAAACTAATCTGTCACATTACTAAGGAAATACAGTTCTGAGGGTCCTCCCCCATGGTCTTTCTACTTTACTTTGAGTTGGTTTTTTTTAAATGTATTTGTTACAGGGTCTCACTACAGTGTAGTGTGGACTCATAATGATCCTCCTGTTTTCAGCCTCCCCAGCACTGGGAATATAGGCCTGCACCACCATGCCCGGTCTTGGTGGCTGGCTCATTGCGCCCAGAGTAGGCCTGGTGCTCCATGTGGCATCTGGAGTCAAACCCCAGTCCCTGCACTTGCCTAAGTAGGTACTTAGTTTGCCGAGCTATCTCACTGGCCCTACTTTGACTTTTTCTTTTTCTGGATTTAATTTTATTGGCACATTTTAGATATGCTTCATGTTCACATTCATCATCCACTTTGACTTTTAGGCCTGTTTTGTAAAAACAGTGCAGTACTCACTCGTGATCAGGGGCCCCTTTCTGAAGATAGCAAAGTACACACAAGAGCAGCTCACGCATGCACTCTTTCATGCATGTTTCTTCTTCCCCTTCTTTCCCTCCCTCCCCTGCTCCAGCCTTTCTGATACTGTGACATGCAAATTCAAAGCATGTTTCTTTATCCTTTTACCCACAGCTGCAAAACTTTCTTTGTCACTTAACTCAGATTGTCAGACTTTGTCAGGGTTCTTCCTTCTTATGTTAAAGCCTAGAAGTTGCCTGTAGGTGGAAAATGGGGCTATGGGATAGATCATGTCAGCTTTTTTTTTTCTTAGGGAATGTGGCTCTCACCTACTTTCCAATGTCTCAAAACTTACTTCATATGTTATGTTGGCTTTTATATATCAGGTAATGTAAGAATAAGGAAAGCTAAACATAGAGTTCTGCTTTACAGGAAACAGAAATGATGAGTTATGTTCAAGATGTGATTTTATATACATTTTGATTAGAATTTTGTTACAATTATATATTGAGTATATGCTTTAGAAAATTGTTTTTATTATAAATCTGAGCCTGTATAAGTATACTTTGTCTCTGTCTTAAGTGCTATTTCCAACATATGAATGAAGTATAATTTTATTTATAAATCACTTTTTTGTTTAAAGAATTTTTTTGTATTTTGTTTTTTGTTGGATTTTCCCATTGGTTATTTTGGAATATTACTTATACATTTAAAAAATAATTTGCCATAGTACTAATTTAAAGAATTCTAATAGTTTAAGTCACTTTATAATTTCTTTAAGTACACTGTGCATACTTTGATAACCCTTTGTGTCCCATCTAATTTGCAAGTTTTTAAAAATTGTTCACTTTTTAAAATAAACTTTCATTATCTTAATGATTGCTTTCTTTATTATTTGCTTAGAAATCTGCCACGCCAAGAATATAAAAATATTCAGATTGTCTTTTGGTGTGGATCTAGCTTTCGTTTTTTCTGAATAGATAATCAGTGACTGCAGTGCTTTTTTTAGTTATCTTTGTGTTCTGCTATATTTTTAAATATTTATTTATTTATTTATTTATTTATTTGGTACAGGGTCTTGCTATGCAGCTTGGGCTCATAGTGATCCTCCTGTCTCAGGCTCCCCAGCACTGGGATTACAGGTGTGTGCCACTATGCCCAATTTGGGGCCAGCACATTGCACCCAGAATTCCAGGGCTGGCATGGCATGTGGTACCAGGGATCGAACCTGGGTCCTTGCACTTGCCAGGCAGGCACTTAAGACTGCCGAGCTCTCCCCAGCCCTATATTTCTTTATTTATTCAAATCTTAGCAAAGCTTTTAAATGTCTGTTATCTAATACAATAATTTGTTTTTATAAAACATTTTGTAATTGCACTGTCACTGTTTATTAGGTGTGTTTTCCTTTAAATTCAACCTGAATTGATGTGCAAAATTTGAGGTTATGCAAGTATCTTATAAAACCACTTTAGGGGACTAATGAAATTCATTCAAAAAGAATTTTCGTACAGACTATATTGGGATCTATCATACCGGGGTAACTAAGAGGAAAGTTTTTTGTGTGTTTGCTTTTATTTCTTTGAGAAAAAAAATTTAGTAATACAAGAAGGATCAGAATTTCTTGGTTAACATTTTAGGGTTTTTTTAATTGTTTATTTTTTTTCCTGTATTGATATTCTTATAAACTTGTTTTTCTGTTTTTATAGTTTTGGTAAGCAGTTTGGAGGAAAAAGAGGATGTGATTGTCTTGTATTAGAGCCTTCAGAAATGATTGTGGTAAGAATGCTGAATTGTTTATTGATATGCTTTACTTTCAACTTTAAATGTAATAGACTTTACAGATTCTGTTGCTATGATCTTTTAGAGATTTTATTAAGTAGAATCAGAAATATATAACAAGTTCATACATTTTCATCTCAAAGCTGTTTCTGCATCTTGAGAAAATGTGACACATTACACAGTTACATCTGTTCCAAATTTGGCAATTCTTTTTACATAGTTTACTAGGAAATTAAAGGTTTTGAAAATGGGACCATGATTTTCAAGGTTTTTTTTTCCTTTTTTGCTGAATTTAATCAATAGACTAAACATTTAGAGTCTGTTCCCTAGACTAGAGGGAAAGAGGAGGAAACAAAAATAAGAGACACGAGGAGATATAAGTAAAAAAATGACCTGACGGCTGGCCAGATAGCTCAGCCGACTAAAGTGCCTGCATCAGCAGAGCGCAGTGGCTGGGGTTCGATCCCCCACCATGCCATGCCGGCCCCGCTCCTGGGGTGCCCTGAGACGGAGATTGAGACTGGGCATGGTGGCTTGCGCCAGCACGTGGGAGGCTGAAAACAGGAGAATCACTACAAGTCTGATCTACATAGTGAGACCTGTGCACCCTGAAGACCCTGCCCTAAATTAAAAAAAAAAGACCTGGAGCTTAATGCTTTTGCTTTTTAGGTATTTGGGACAAGTTTTTATTTGAGGATTGTTTCAGTAATTACTCATTACTTTCTTAAGAGAACTAGATGGTTGATGTAACTTTTGAACATCTCACTTTTTTGTAAGCATTTGCGGAATTAAGAACACTGCGATCTTTGACCTTATTCTGAGATGAAATCACATTGACTTATGGCTGTCTCATGTGGATCATCGTATCCTGTAATTTGACTTGAACTGTTAAAAAGTGAGACTAAGTTCTAAAGGAAGCCTTTCAATGTCAGTGCTCAGCGCTAAGTCACTTTTCCATTTCATGGTGTGCCAGTCGTTGAATCTTCAAGTAGTTTTCTCATTCCTAAACTGGATCATCTAGGTAGCCACAAATGTACTCTCCTATAATGAAACAGTGAGATTATTTCCATGTCAGACTAAAAATTGGAAAAAACAGTTTATTAATAAAGCTGACAGACCCTGCCTGAGTTACAGATCATAAATGTCTGGCCAGCATCTCAGTGTGCTTCCCCAATCCTTATTGATCAGAAACATGTCTGGCCTCATTCTTTGTTTAGTCTGCTTAAATACTTTCTTGGTTTCCATGGTAACCAGGATAGAATGCCTTGATTGTTACAAGCAGTCACAGGATTCTTCTTTGTAATTAGTTCTGTTTTCGTATTATCTCTTTTATGTTTCCATCTTAAGGGTGGGGAAGGAGTGAAGGAGTGAGACTTTTTTTTTTTTTTTTTTTTTTGCACCAGGGATTGAACTCAGGCCCTTGCGCTTGCCAGGGAAGCGCTTATTCTACTGAGCCAAGAGACATCTTAACATGGGTAGATTAAAGACTAAACTAGAGCTTCATTTGCTAGGATGAAATTAATCCATTGAGAGCTGCCATCCCTTACAGTAGACTATCATGAAAACCTTAATTCAAATTATTTTGTAATTTTACATATATTCTTTTTTATTTTTTTGGTGGTATTAGGAATCAAACTCAGGACCTTGCTCTTGCCAGGCAGACACTTATTCCACTGAGCTATCTCCCCAGCCCTAGATATAGTCTTTTAAAAAATTATACCCAAATTGGCAGACATAGACAAGAAATCTGCATGAGCCAGTATCTAGAAAAGAAAGTAAATCTATAATTTCATACCTTTCTATCTAGAAATTCAGGCCACCATAGCATTCCTGGTGAATTTCTCCCAAACTTTAAAAAAATAAATCTAATGGAAAAGAGAATCAAATAGTTAACCTCTTGTGTTGAGGGAAGCAGTGAGGGATTGAATCCAGGGCCTTCCCGCTAAAGTACATTCCCAGTTCTTTTTTTTTTTTTTTCCTTTTCCTGAGACAGTCTTGGTAGGTTACCCAGGCTGAGCTTGAACTTGCAGTGCTCCTGCCTCAGCCTTCTAGAGTTCTGGGACTCCAGTTGTGTATCACCACCTCTAGCAATACTTAACCTCTTTTTGTGAGTTTACTTTTAATTTTGATAACTAAGCCCAACAAGGGCCTTATTACAAAAGCAGCATTAAAAGTCAGTTTTTATAAGCTAGCTTGCTTTGCTTTGATTTGCTTTACTTTGCTTGCTGCTTGCTGCCTGCCTGCCTTCCTTTCTCTCCTTTCCCTCCCCTCCCCTCCCCTCCCCTCCCCTCCCCTCCCCTCCGGTCTTGCTACGCAGCTCAGACTTACATTGATTCTCCTGTCTCAGCATTCCTAGCACTGGGATTACAGGTGTGTGCCACCACACCCGCTTTCAGTAGCCAGTTCAGTGAGGGTCAGCATGGCATGCAGTGCCAGGGGTCCATCCCAGGTCCTTGCACTTGCCAGGCAGGTTCTTAGACCGCTGAGCTCTCTGCCTGGTCCCAAAGTCAGTTTTTAAATGTAAATAGATGTAAAACTTTTAAAATTGCATGGAATCAAACCTGAGTAATAAGAAGGATAGAATGTCATCTTCCTGGAGTTGAAAGCTTGATTTAACATTTGCAAATCAGTGTGATTCATTATATTGGTATAATTATATAAAATGTCAAGTGATCATTTCTATAAATAGAAAATGTTTGATATTATTTAAAACCTTTTTATAATTTATAAGTCTTAGCCAAGTGTGTTGGCACATGCCTGTAATCCCAGCACTCAGGAGGCTGAGGCCATAGTGTCATTGTAAATTCAAGACCAGCCTGAGTTACAAAGTGAGGTCAAGGGCAGCCTGAATGGCATAGTGAGACCCTATCTCAAGACAAAAAGGAAAAGGTCTTTCAGCACACGAGGAAGCGAAGGAAACTTCCATAACCTTAAGGAACCCACATATACTCTGTAGTGAGCAGTGAAGACCTTCTCCCATCATTTATTAATGTGTCAGAAAAACCCACTGAAAACGAAAACAATGACAGGGGATCCTATACAGTGTAGATAGGCGAGGGGGAAGAATTGAAAAGGGAGATATAAAGCTTGATTTATAGATAACATGATTTGTGTGTAGAAAGTAAAAAAATTACTTAAATGTAAATTTTTGGAATTAATATATCATTTCAGCAAGGTTACTGGATACTTCTTCATATACAAAAATCAGTTATGTCTTTATGAACAACAGTAATTAGAAAATAGAATTTAATAAACATACTTTTTCATCTCAGAAATATTTCTCTAGCGTTCAAAAAATACTGAACAAATACATTGAATAAAAAAATGAAAAATACTTTTTGTCAATGTAAAAAAAAATCCATGTACGTCAGAATAAATCTAACAAAAATTGTAGGTTTTTTTTTTTTTTTTTTTTTTTTTTGGAACCGGGGATTGAACTCAGGTCCTCATGCTTGCCAGGGAAGCGCTTACTCCACTGAGCCATCTCCCTGGCCCCTTGAGCCATCTCCCTGGCCCCTAATCTAACAAAAATTGTAGGAGACCACTGCACAGAAAATCAAGTTGTTTAAGTCTTTTAAATCAAGGGAATCAGTGTCTGTAACATAAAAATTCACTTGAAATTCATCTAAAGTTTAGTTCAGTCTCCATAAAAATTCCAGCAGATTTTAAAATGGGGATCAAGAAATTGGTGTATAACATACTTGTGATCCCCAAAAGAAATACATTTCAATAGCTACATGAGAATACTTAAGTGTCAACCTAACAAATGTGCAAAAAATATTTGTAGCGTTGAAAAAATATATATTTAAACAAAAAGAGATAGTGTTCTTAGACATGAGGTAACCAGCACACGACTACTAATTTTCCTGTTTTTCTTTTCTTTTTTTTTTTTTTTAA